ATCGAATTTTGAAGAGGCTAATCAGATTGAGTTTGCAATTATCGTTGGGGTGAGCTGAGCTGAGCTGGCATTCAATCGAGCATGAAAAAAGTTTAACCTTTGACTGATTTCTGTGCGGTGATGTTCAATCCTTGGTAGCTTGACTGATTTGTTAACTGACAGCAATCAAAGTGTCCTTCCATTACAGTTAAAGGAATCTCAAATCCGTCACGAAGGGTCTGATACGATGCTGTGATCCTACCGCAAATGTGCAGGAAGTAGGGATCGAGAGATGTGAAACACTCAAAAGTGAAATAGTGATCATGGATAGATGAGCCCATGGGGGAGAAAGTTAGACAAAGTCGTGTGGCTTGGGCTGGTGACAAGGCCAGCACTCCTCTTGGTGTGTATTAGTTCTGGTGAACTAGATAACTGTTTAGATCTTCTGTCTACCAACTGGCTACCGGCTCACCTGCAAGTTATCGGTCTAACATCTAATATCGATCATCTATCGATGACAAAGAGCGATACTATATATATACTTCCTCCCTTCACACAATGGTCGCATCTGACCTACGGGAATAAAAAACTGGTCGGTTATTGATAATGACTCTTCGTACGAGAGTACTAAAATATTTAGATCATGTGGAACAGCATTTTCGCCACAGAAAGATGCCGACAGGCCAAACACATATAACCATTTTTCAAGTTTTAGGAAGCAAATTCTGTGTGCCTTCTATCCAAAGTGACGTCCTTCACCTCTCCGTGTTCTCTCACCATTGATCATATGTAGTTTCTACTGTATAATTATGGAAACCACTAATAATTAGCTAGATGAACTCCTCATTTTGAATATAACTACAAAGAGGAGTGTAGACATGCATGTCAAATTCTGTACTACAAAGATTTTTTTCTCACGACTGCAGTGTCCAGTATGGAATTGTTTCTGTCACTTTCAGTTATGAATTGTGATTGTGGGTCATACCAAACGAGCGGGTGAGGTTATGATGTATGCGTCAAAGTCCCGGGGGCGGTGTCATCAAAGAAACGAGGTAATGAGAGGCCGAATATTCAGTCGTGCCGACTGGGGAAAACTTACATGCATTAGGGATGAATTACATGCGGGCATGCAAACGGAAACTGATGTTGACATGAAGACTGACGTTGACATATGGCAGCACTTGTTGTCACGCACTTTCCATTTCTGTTCTGCACCATTCATTCTGAATGATGCAGAAGTAGCAAGCGACCTGACGCGTACCTAAACATATCCACACTACTGTACCGGGATGGTGCGCTTTTGTATTCAGCTATCTATGTTCTCAACTTCCCATTGATCTATGTTGTGTCAGGGCCTGGAGTCGCAGTTCGAGCTTTCTTAAACCGAGCGTGCAACGCTATATGTAACAACACCAGTCATGGTACTGCACTGCTCTCCAAGCAAAAGTGGGCCTTCCTGCACTCCCCACTCGACGGTTGAAGGATGGGAGAGTCCATATATATATATATATATATATATAAACATATATTTTGTTCACTTTATTGTGGATCCCCGAATGTTAACTGCGAATCGGATAATATTTGATATTGCGAGAGGTTCTGCAGTTGTTGATCACCGACAACCTTTTTTACTTTTATTTCGTTCAAATGCATTCTTATTGACGGACATATGATTACAAGACTATGAATGTGATATCAGGAAGAGTTTGAGAAATCAACACAGCATACCCGAAGTCAGTCAGAAGTAAATTCCGGAGTGAGTGTAAGTTTCTCCATATATGCTGGATATCGCTGTTAGTGGTTTACTTGACGACTATGCTCTGGTCAAGCCTCTCTTACGTAAAGTATTCCTTCACTATTGCATGAATTCAAGACATTCGTTTCCGTGGACATCGCCTAGCAAATAAGAGAGTCTCGAAATTGAACACACTTAAGTCCACGCACAGAATGGAATTTTGGTTGGAAGTATTTCGTATTTCGTGAGTGATTTCGTATCAGTGGTAGTTACAATGATCTTGCTGTCACAGATTGACGAAATATTGGAAGTACCTGCGTTCAAAGATGACAAGGAGGAAGGAAGAAGGGAAAATATTTTTTTATAATAGACTAGGTTTGCTAGGATCCTAATTATGGAAAGATTTCTGTCTGCTGCATTCTGAAATGTCCCTTCGGGGACATCCGATAAAATTGGAACGATACAGAGAAGATTAGCATGGCCCCTGCGCAAGGATGACACGCACAAAATGAAAGAAACACTACAACTCTGTTACCCTGAGAGCGAATAGTTGATTCGGAAGCTCTTGTAAGTAAACAGCAAATAAACAAATGTCCATCACGAGGGGTTAGAAAGAGTGTGGACAAGACGTGTGTGACGTAGATGAATGCTCGGAAACGTCTGCAAGAACGAAGTTCAGAATTTTGAATGGAAAACTATGCCTGCAGAAAGAAGATCCATCTCGCTGGATGCCTGTCAAAAGTGTAGAATACAGTTAAGAATCCACAATCCAGACATGTGAGAAAGAATGGATGATGCCTGGCTCCACAATGCGAGACCTCGTAATCCATGTGGACTTTTTCTTCCCTTTAAGTCCAAAAATCGGTGTCAAAAGAATGTCACTAGTCAAGGACAAGACGTGTGACAAGATTGGTACGAAAGACCACCAGGAGGAGGATTCTGCCAAGAACAAAGTGAGTACTGCTTACTGACTCATGGATGGCGTCTATTATCCTTATCCTGGTCATTGTAAATTCCACGCAAGCTGCTAGTTTGGTATCAACACCCTGCAAATTTAGACTTAGACTTCCATTAGTGTAGGAAAATGTGTACATCGCTATGGATCATGACATTTCTTTGAGGTCGTCTATGTCCATCATGAAGCCTGATGAACAACGACCTCACTGCTAACCTCCATACGTGTATCCAATTCCAAGGACATGTTTAAGAGGCTTCCAACCAAAACTTCCGTTTCCGTAGCATCCTCCTCCTCTTCCTCTTGTTGCATCGAAAAGGATAAAAGAACCGAAGGAGGTTTGTGCAGTTTTGACTGACCGGAACTCCAAAGCGATGATGGGAGGGAGTGTGTGAAGCTCGTGTGAGGATTTAAGTGCATATGGATCGGAGCGCAGGGTCATGAACAAATGCCTTTGACGGCTCCGCGGACACGCAAAACTGATTATGTTTGCTCGTCTTGTCAAGACACTTTTCCATTGAATAGGAGTCCTGGGGTTAAGGAGGACGTGCATCTGAATGGCAAGTGTGTCAGCCACCTGGCAAAAACTCTCACTTCGGCATATGGAAGGTCTTGTGATGCCTTTGGCCACCACCCTCCTTTACAATTGATCTCGAATTGGCAAGTGTGTCGGCCACCTGGCGGAAACTCTCACTTAGGCATATGGAAGGTCTTGTGATGCCTTTGGCCACCACCCTCCTTTACAAATTTGATCTCGAATTGGGTGGATAAGCTTCAATTTTGCTCGTGAAAGTGCTCTGCGCGCAGCGCTGCCAACCACAATTTGTGCAACCTGCCACCACCTGTGGACAGTTCACATCTCGCTCATGTTGGTGCCACTTTTGGCGCATAAAACAACTCTGCTGCTGTCGTTTGGACGCAGATGCCGAAGGCCCGACTCTGAGCTGCCCAAGCCATTGGCCGAGCCCATTGGCGAGAAAGTGAACGAGAGCTCCGGGACCAGTTTCCTTGCGGGCTCCGTCCTTTTCTGCGCTTAAACTTCATCAAAGTCGTCCAAAGTCCGTCCTTCTAAACTCTGACTCTCGTCCCGCGAGCCAATCCGCAGCCAGCAGTAAATTGCCGCCCACAAATGCTCTTTCCGAAGTTCCCCGACTCCAGGAGAGTACGAAGCTCGGTCCGCGAACGATTTCCACTGCGTGTCCACCTCGGCCACCTCCAAAGCTCCGGCTATTTTGTCTAGGCAGATCAATGTGTACAAACTTAGGACAGATATTCCTCCTTCCTCTGCGAATCGCTGCCAATCATTCGTTGGAGCCGACGCTCCATTACTGCTTCCTCAGCGCTCCCTGCGTCCGCCCATGTTTCTCAGTCTGGAAGAATGACAAGATATTTTGTCTGGCGTACTCTGGCTTTTGTGGCTGCCATGGCTTTCATCGAATATTGACTTTCAGTGAAGGTACTTGATCCCGGAGAGCTAGACTTGTGACATTTGCCACCTCCTCTACTACGAGCAGAGCAGAGTCCGTCAAGCGAGATCTTCGACTCTTCTATTCTTCGATGCTGCAAAGCTCATCGAGCTAGCCAGCTCCTTTCGATGTAGAAATCAAATGACAGTTCTGTCTATGGGAGGCGATTATGATGCTTACTGATAAATGGCCGTGAGCGCGTTTCTGACGGAGCAATTCCTTTCTATCATGGGCAGCTGTCGATGGATTGATCGACTGATTACTTTAGTGTTGCTCGAGAACCGCTTTCTTACCCGCGATTTATCTGTCTAATTTATGGCGAGGACGAGGTCATCCGAAATGCTATTCCACGGAGTTCATCCTCAAACCGGAGACCGAGAGAATACGTACGAGGGTACTATTTCCAAAGAACACGAGGACATCTCGTGCATCGAAGAGAGAATTGATGGAATGGCACACGCCCGCCGTCTGGGCACAAGCTGTGATGACGTTTGAAGTAAGACTGCATGATAGAGAAACTTTAAAACAAAGCATTTCTGACTGGCAATGCCTATCCCCAATCGGCTGCTGATGCCCAATGATCTGCGTATGTTTGACTGGAATCGCTCTCCGCAGTCAATTTTCTTCCCTCCCCACTCATGCCAATGCTCTACGGTGACAAACCGTCTGCACACCTGCACCGTCCTTGTGCCACTCGAGTGCATACATATGCCAACTGCCGCAGCCCAGGAATGATGAATGTCACGGACTCGTGAGGGAATTGACAGTCCTGATTGTCAATATACAAACTCGAAAGCAATTTTTTCAGCCACACAGTCACATCCACGATACACAACATGAGACGTCGCTAAATTGCACAAATCGTACACGGAAAGCGAACTGGTACGAACCCTTGGGAATATAAGAACAAATGGGCAGAAATGAATGCCTCTGCTCGCATTTAGCTTCTTGCTACAATACAGAACAAGCACTCGTTACTTTACATCGCCATCTTGTGGACTGTTCCACACACTCATCGCGTTCATGTCTTCGTTCACTACTGGAAACTGCATCCAGTGTCCAGTGCTACGTCCCTACAGTCTGTCCACGTTTTTTTCTGAGGGCAGGCATCGCCTTCCAGGCATTTCTACTTTTATCCTATGCTGTGGGTTAAGTAGCGCACTTAAAAGTTTCAGAGAGTTTTCTAATAGGTTCTCTGATCGATATACAATACAGTTTGCATCTATGGGGATTGTCAGCGGACAAGTGGGACAGGAGTTCTACACATGATCCAGTGTACTACTTAAGTATTAGATCGTCCCGGAGTCCTGGAGGCAGGGAGCTGGAGCTGCTGCACATGGGCCACCTGGCCACTTAAGCCCGGAGTCCAGTCAGAAGTTCCGATGGGTAGCTTGCGAGCACTCAGCAAGTTTAGAGCTGACGACATGCATCAAACTTCTAGACTGAAGTCTTTCAGCCAGATTATGACCTCGTTCCTCTGCATCAGCAAGTACAAATTCCATCTCTTCGTATTAGAGACAAGTTCCAGCTTTCAAGGACGAGGATAGTTGGTGAATCTGTGAAGCCTTGTAATTGTGCTGCGAGCAAATTTTGGTTTCTCCACACTCAAAAAGTTGGTTGTTTTCTCACTAAAATCTATAGAGAACCATTGACACCCCACCGTCCAAAACAATTAAAAAACTCCGTGCGGAAGTGAAGAGGGACTTACCCTCATGAACGGCTTTGTGCGACCAGGATCGTTGTAACGAGCAAGCAAGTAGCCCTCCTCTGGTTGCAATCCATTACTGATGACAGCCGCCCTTAATTTTGACTCTTTCTCGAGGATGAGCTCTTGCGTAGTTTGCCCATTGAATTTGACTGCTGCAGCGAAAGTCTTATCGACGGCCCGAAGTTTCACCTGTTCTGATAACGGACCTGGTACGCTGAAACACCCATCCTCATGAATCAATAACAACCTCGTAGAGTGACGCATTGAGAAAACTCTGTTTTCTGCGTCTTTTGAGTTTTCTGCGGTTTTTCTCGGCGACTATGATAAAGTAAGACGGCAAATATGGATATCTCAGAAATTCCAGACGCCTCACGTTTAGGGGGTGATAGCAGCACATTTTAACAAGTAGGTGTACTTACGTAGAGAGTTCGGACTTCAGTGGGAGAACAAACTGTAACTGAGATCCTTCTCCGGCCGACATGTTAAAAACAGGCGTGGTCATTTTCATCTTCTCTCCTGTCGTATTCTTTCCGAACAAGTACCTGAGCACGATAAGAAAGGCAGATTTAGAACTCTTCCACCTTGTTAGGTATCTGGAACCAGGAGTCTGTATTCAGCAACTTGTATCTATCAATATTGTTACCCTCTGACTATACCGAGGACTCAATCTTCCATGGAAATCCAGGATAGTCTTCCCTTCCAAGATGAAAAAATCAACCGTACAAGAGGACTGAACAATATTTACGATGCGAGAAAAAACAAAGAATTTGACATGTTTCAACTCTCTCGTCCTGTGCACCTATTACAAAAGCAAATGGTGGATGTGACCACGTATTTCAGGGTGAATGAATAGCAGGTAACGAGTTGATAGGTAGGAAAGTACAGCTCAGTATTTGATAATTGAAGTTACTTATTTAGGAAGTTATTCAGAAGGAAAAGAAACAGGAGGAACAGAAGACATTGTATGAATGGGGCATGTCGTCAAGTGTCGCTTGAGTGCACATCGTTTGAGTGAGAGGTATACAAACTCCAAGAGACACAGAGACACAGAGAGGCCATGAAGGCGGGAAAATTCTATCTTCATTGGTGCTTATTTAGAAGAAAAAGAAACAGGAGGAACGGAAGGCAATATATGAATTGTTACGACTTCACATGGGGCATGTCGTGTCGCTTGAGTGCACATCGTTTGAGTGAGACGTATACAAACTTAAACAGAAGGGCCATGAAGGCGGGAAAGCTTCATCTGCATTGGTGCTTATAGCTATCTTAACATATACTAAAACACGTACCCGGCGACTTCATTGAAGCCTTTATTGCCCACAAGTTCATCGCTAGGGGTTTCAGCCACAAGAAACTGCTCGTACTGTCGCACCTGCATGTCAAAACGCAACCACAAATGTTTCAAATCGGGATCTTATATCATTTTTTCAGGTCTATAAAAATGTATGCCAAAACAGACCTAATACGAACCTCATAAGCACCCGTCCGCTTCAAGACTCTGTACTTGGGAGTCTCCAAATCTGGTGTCTTGTAGATTTGCAACTGTTTCACACGATGATTAGAGCGTTTAGAATATCAAATGTACACATGCAGAAGCTGGAAATCAATGAACAGAATTAGATGAAGAAAAAACTAGAAGGAGAAGAAGAATTGATGAGAAAAGCCATTCAAACACTATACTTCTGAATGCTCAAATGGAAACAGTAATAAGCAGTTCAAATCGAAGATACCTGTCCTAAAACATCTTGCAAGGCCTCAATGGAGAAGTAATCGTTATTTTTTATAGAATCCCAGAAATCCTGTCAAAAAGATGGATTGTTAGAGATGTGTGACTCTGAAATTGAGATAAGAACGCATTCAAATCCCCTAAGTTGAAATGAATCCTCCAGCGACAAGACCAACTGTTTCGACACTGATATGTGCAAGGATTATGCTCATCATGCTGGAAGTACTCGACTGTGAAGCCTTCAAATCATGGGAAATAATTTTATTAAAAAAACTTTTTAACATTCGGCAAGAACTTACAACATGGCTGTTGAACCTGCCAGTTTCAGGGTTCACGGTCATGACGGACGTTCCGGTGAAAATCAGCTGAGGCCTCCAAGGTAAAATCACGGGAGTCATTGTCATCGTCCACCTCGTAGTTATTTCAGTTGGGCCGGTCTGAAAACAATAACATAAACACATATGAAATGGATAGTTCGCAAGGTTGAACTCTAAATACACTAGATTCAAGCAGATGAAATCCCTTTCCCAGTACTCAGTCACATTAAGTATTATCCAGGACACTTGTCCTGGATAATATCTGACTGAATACCTTGAAACCGATCATGTATAAAACTGTACTTTTTTTCAGTGTATCGGAATCAATGCTACGCCACTTTTGAGATCGATGATCGGAAAATTCTAGGGCACTGTTGAAGTAGGTCATTTCATGTAGCATATATGGTGATATACAGCCCTGACATTCTACGTTGTCTGACCTAATACAAGACTGCCAGCACAGGAACGAGGAGATTTCGACATCAAGCTCCAATCTACGTTAACACAAGAATAGAGATAATTGTACAGAAGACCAGAAGTACTGTAAGTAGCAAAACACTACAAGAGGTAAACTTCCTCGCTTTCTTACTCAATGCTGACTATGTCAGAGAACACAACATCCAGAGCTTAATCGTTTAGCTCATGGGAGACAACTAATTGCAACTTGATGGTCAGGTTCCACTCTTATTCATTTGCAAATTACTTTGCTTTCCTCTCGAAGTGTCTTCGTAGTTATCGACTTTTACAGTAACTCTGGAAGACGGTCATAATCTCATCGTGATGTACTTATTAGGGAATTGTGACTAGCACAACCAATCTGGTCAAAAATACATGTAAGATCGCTTAACGAGTTCGGCTCGCTATGAATATAACTAAATCAAAAAATCAAGACAAATTTTTGGCAGTGTAAATTTGACATCTTCTGGATAAGGAGTAGCTACTTCACTTTGGCTCATTTCTCTTTCATGACGAATGAAATGCGAAAGGAGCAGAACCACAACTGAACATAAGAGGACTGAAGACTTGCCCAGTCACCAACCTGTTTCAAACTGTGAAGCTCGAAGATGGGCTCGAAGAGTCGACGAAGCATCTGAATATTGAAGAGATAACCACCTAAACTGTTATATTTGGTTATGGGGTCCACAAAGTCTACTTTCTCATCATACATGTTCTTGTCAATTCCCTGGTCGTCAAACAGGTGAGGCAGATCCTTCTCGAGGAATGCCATCAACTCTTTCATCTTGGGTGAACCCATAGCGTATTCTGCCTCTGTGCTTGCAGCTGGAGCCATCGCTGAGCATATTACGTGTTTTCTCGAGATCATAGAGCTCCCTGTACACCTCAAAGGGAATGAGCCCGACCTCATTGGGATTCCCCCATTTCCAGAAGCTGAGACAATTGACACCCGAGCTGTAGAGGAACCCAATGAGCTGCCGTCAGGAGCGAAACCGAGCACGACGGATTTGTTCGGTGCTAGAGAACAACTCGGGACAATGGCAGGAGAGAGTGCCATGGACAACAATTCTGAATGTTCCACCAAATTGAATCCTCCCGCACCGAGCTTCGCTGGACTCAAAACTCAGCGATTAAATTCCAACCCGAGGCCTGCGGTTACGAGTCAGCTCCTGAATTCTCCCCGCCTGTGGTGCAACCACCATTCAAACGTGTGAGATTCAGCAAAAGCTCACTCTGTGTACCGTCTCCACTGAAACCTCCCTCCCTCGTCAAATTCAAAGCCACTATCGCTCGACCTTCGCACTGCCGACAATTCGTGCGAAACAAAAGTGAACAAAATTGCCAGCGTCCGCACCTTGGGATAAATGCGAGATTGTATCTCACGTGAATGGACGAAGAAGAGATCTGTCTGCAGATGAATTTGTTGTTCTCGGAGTAGCGTGTGCGTGGGCAGAGTCGAAAGCGCGATGTGATTCTGCTTGCCAACCGCACCTGCTGTCGGAGCTCGGGGAGGAAATTACAGACACGTGTCAAAACACCAGCGTCAGACATCTCCGCCTCCTTCTCGTGGACCACAAGAATGAGAAGGCTTGCACAACCAAGAGCACTGCCCTTCGCCCGCCGGCGTCCAAGGCATCTTAAAATTCCACTTCCTTTCATACAACTACAACATTGAACGTCAAGTAGTGTCCCAACACGTTTGTGTACTTGTCTTGTAAGTGTTTCTTCTTCTATTGAAATTACATGGATACAAATTGAGTAAATAGAATGAATTGTATTCATGATGAATTCTTATGAAATAATATTTGCACATGTATATCATTGTTATATTTGCCAAATAAACTTTACTTAAATTTTTTAGAATCTTCTTACTTCTTTGTCCAATAACTTTATTGATAATTTATTTATACATACATACACATTTACATTCAACTATGTCTGTGAAAACTAGAGACTAGCACAGTGGAGCATAAATGAGATAGGTCATGTATGTTGAATGTGTAACTCCTCTTCATGAGAATCATGAAAAATGAACACAATGATAACCCGCCATGGAATAAACCTGCAATTTAGATTATAAGTGATGAAAATGTAGACTTTTCAGATTGATAACATTAGTAATACGTTACATTACATAATATTACGTATCACTAATACGTAATATGCTGGAAAAACCTCCAGAAATGGATCTGAATAATGAGATCTACGAATAATACTGCAAAGATTTCGATGGATTTTCTTCTCTTGTACATAAGTTTACCAAACGTGTATAGAGAGATACTTTTCAAACATTCAGAGAATATAGTATATTTCCGATCTTGTGGGTATGTGCAAAGATACCGTCTTGTATATTAGATAATCTAGGTTGTGATTCACAGAATATCATAAATTATACTCACTAGATTCACTATAACATATTACACCGTTCAAAACATGAAGTGACATACACAATTGCTTAATATCTACATCATTATCAAACTAAAACCTTTGATGTTGCCAACACATTGTAAACATCATAAAATTATTTATTTTACATGGAATCTTTAGAAATTCAAGTCACAAAAAACCTGCTCTATTCATCATGCATTTCTAATAATGAGCAGGTACATCTAGATATAATACACTAGATAAAATCAAAAATTTTTTATAAGAATTTTTCTTGTTTGATATCATATTAAAACTGAATTATCTTGAATATCACTATCTAATTTTGAAAGTAATAAAAAAATATAACTATTTTTTTAAAAGATAATTTTTTTATCTATATTTTTAATATATCACAAAAATAGAATTTTGGGCTATATTTTGTTATAAAATAAATTTAAAATAATTTATAAAAAATATAATTTATATCTTTAAAAATGTATTTCATGACATGTAATAAGTTTTTTTAGGAAAAAAATTTGCAAATGATTACATTAAAATCTTGTGATCATACAAAGAATAAATTTCACAAATGAAAATTAGATACATAACATCACAAAAATAGTATAAAAAACGAGATTTAAAATTTCAAAATTTCAGTGGAAATTTTGTCCTATAATCAAGACTTTTTTTAAAAAAAAAGGTTGAAATCGTATTTGAATGTTACGTTAGAAAAGAATTGGTTGAAATAATATCATTACAAGTATATAAATTCAAATTTTCACCCATTTTTCAATATACATAAAAATTAAATATAATAAATAAATCGAATGAGAAGAAAAATTATATTTATAATATATATAAATATAATATTACGATAAGAGAATACAACAAATTTCCAAAATAATGAAAAATTAAAAGTTTCCAAGTTTTATTTTAAATATCTTTTCTGTAAACTTTTAATCAATAAGTATCATTGAAAAATTTATTAATATTATATGCTACATTTTATAAATTTATATCTATTAATGTATGAAATTGTTATTTCGAAAAATTTAGGTCCATCATTTATCAAAAATATCTTGACTGATAAGATACACAACTAACATAAATTAAAACACATCTGAGTAAAAAACTTTCAACCAAATTAACAAAATAATAGATAAATCATGTCATGTATATAAGTATAAATAACAGATATATTTCAAAACTTAATTCATTTTATTATAATTTATGGTTCACACTTCAATGATCAATTTTTTCAAGGAGAAATCAAGATTCTTCATAATGTTTCATAAATAAACTAATGAACATATTCCCAACATATGTCAAAATGTTTTCCTTCTTATGTTTAAAAAAATCTTTTTTGAACTTCTAAGCATATTAAAATTTGAAAAAAAAACTCGAACTTTTTTTAAATAATTTCTTTACTAAATATATTTTTCTAATGCAGTAATTTAGATTTTGGTTTAATGCAAAGAAATTATATAAATTCACTTCTTTTGCAAACTTAATACCATGAAAACACCAAAATAAAATACACTTATTCAAATATATATATATATTGGATTATTTTCTAAATTGATGATTTTTTTAAGTTCTATCACTATTTTTCAATTTTCAAAACATTTTGATAGATTGTTCTTATTCTTACTCTAATAAACTATAATTCATAACAGAGTTCTTTCACATGTTTTTATCAAATAATTTTTAAAAATAAAAAAAAATTATCACCATTTAGAAATAATTTTGGAATATAGATTAAACAAATTGCGAATTGGAAATTTTTAAAAAATTATTAAATTTCGAAATTATTTAAATTTGAATTTTTTGGTGTCAATATTGAATTTTTCATTATTAATAAAAATTTTAGATTTCATTAATACTAATAATAAACTAATATTAATTTGATGCTATCTATAAAAAAAATCATAATGAAATTAACTTTTTGAATGAATTATGAAATATCAATCAATATAAATGACATATTTATCAATAAAATAAAATATACCAATCAATCATATATATTTTTTTAAATTTGAAATTCAAATAACGTTTAAAATTATGATTTTTGATTGATAGATTCTTTTGAGTTTTTATAAGAATTATCTAAAAATTGCCTTTAAATTGAATCTAATTATAAAATAATGGAAATTTGAATGACTTCAAATTTATCTCATTAATTATAATATATTATTTGTTGTAATGAAAATCATACAATAAAATGCACAAGCACATGCTTTCACATTGAAATACTCAGATTGTTACTATTTACATGCAAAATATTAGAAAGAACTTCATTGATAAATTGCTTAAGTGTAAAAAATTTTTATAGGGTTTCTTGTAAAATGGTATTTCAATAAATATTCAAATTGGAGTCAAATTAATTCTGATTTTATGAAACCTGACTTTAGTTTTTACAACATGTTGTGTAAGATCCGTAGTTATATGTGTGAGTTTTTGTTAGAAATAACCAAAGAATTAACCATGATTGGTTTAGTTATGACTAAGACTTTGCTAATATGTCTATACTTGGTCAAACAATCAGATTAGTTCTAGAACTTTTGAATGAATATTTTCTCCCATCAAACTCTAGATTCTAAAGATGATAATATTTTGACTACATGTTTATTTTGATTGGTTTGATTAAGTAATAAAAATCTAATTGGACTAAGTCTCAAGCTGACTTAGTTGCAAGTGAAAATTTTAGAAATTTTAGAGTCTTAAATATCATGTCATCACCTCAAACTAAAACATTTAGGTACACCAATGTCATATGATCACGTAATGAGAATTAGTCAAATCTACCAAGTTTTATGTTAGTAAATGTAAGTTATATGATAACTATCATATGATACTATGGTAAATTTTCAAGTAATATAAATTTAGAGGTAGAGAAGAATATCTCAAACAAATTTGAAAGGTTTTTGGTGTGATAACTTATTTCATATATAGAATGTTGATTTACACTATCATCTTGGAGTGTCCACGAGTGATTAGATTTGAATGATGAATAGAAAGATTGTTTGAAACACCTACATGTTGAAAAATCCTTGTATTCTACAACTATGATGGTTATAAAAAAGCCATAAAGTATCATTCACTGATTGATCTTCTTCCTCATCATATGTTTGAGACATCAAATCAATATTATCAATAACTTCCACCTAGCTATACTTACTTCAACATTAGGCTTGTGAAGATGTATTTCAAGGTCTTGTAGTTAGTCATTTTAGTGAATCTTTCACCCAACAAATAATGTCCAAAATTTTTAGGTGAGAAGATTAGCTTGAAAGACTCTTGTTCCATCACTAAATAATTCTTCATTGATTGCACCATTTGTAAACTAGCATAAAAACTTGTATGATCATGTTCTTCTTCATTAAATTGACTCAAGATGCAAGCTCCGGCAATATTTATTGCATACTTAAGGAATAAAAGGTTTATTCCAATCTAGTTTTGCCAAAATAAAACCGTCACCAATGTTTTTTTAGACATCAAATGTCAACTTCGTCTCTTAATACTTGAAGATAAGTTTGTAATTTGTACCCTTCTTCATGTAGTTTGTCAAGACATGAACTTTGTTAAAGAAGTACAACATGAATCGTCGATAGTATCTCACCATATCAAAGAATTTTTTCAACTTTGTCAATGTCACCAAAACAGGTAACTCATGTATTTATGTCACCTACTCTAGATTGTAAGATCAAATGTTGTCCGTGTGAAATAGAACTAGAAGTAACCAAGGAGTTCATCATGGTTAGCTTAGTTTTGACTAAGTTTATCAAATTATAACTTTGTTTAGCTATAATGTCTATAATTGGCAAAGTAAGTAGAGAAGTTCTAGAAGATTTGAGTGAACACTTTGTAAATGTAAAACTCAAGAATTAAACAAACACAGAAATAGCGTGATTCACCCTTAGCTAGAGGACTACGTCCATCCAGAACTCTTAGCACTTTTACTCCATGTCTTGTCAGAAATACTCAATGTACATGACAAATCTCGAGGTATTTATCCCTAGTCCAGGTGATCGTTCTAGCTATGAATAGCTACTACTCGAGATTGCTCCTTAACTGGAGTTAACCTCAACACACTTCTACTTTGTCTTGTATAAAAAATTTAGATTCTAAGAGAAAAAACTTTTGACTTCATGTTTAGTTTTGATTGGTTTGACTAA